CCCCAAAACCCCAAAACCCCAAAACCCCAAAACCCCAAATATTTACCTTTGTTTGAAAATTATTTAATATAAAACCGCAAAAGATTCCATGAACCAAGTGAGAAGCTAGCACGCAGAGAAGGGGCGAAGCTATTATTCAAAGGTCTTGGGCACTTTTGATTAGAGGATTTTCACTTTCTTGCAACATGATGCTTTGAAGAGGAGGATTAGAGGATTTGATCATAACTTTGAGGGGGAGGATATAGGGCTGTATTACCAGTTTGTGCAAAAAGGCTTCTAAATTAAGAAATTTTATTGCGGAATATGATTTACAACCAAATGTACCAGGACAAGAGATGACTTATAACCCTAATTGAAGTGAAGAGCAAGGTAAAGTGAATATGGACATTGAAAGAGATGACTTCATGCACTTTGAAGAGCCTGAATGCCTTAAGAGATTCCCTTCAAATGAACATTTTGATGAAGATGAAGCCCTTTTACACAGCTTTGGGCTCAAAACTAATGAGTGAATAGATGAAGAAGGTATGGTGTCTGACTTCAAAGACTTCACAAATTTATATAGAACCTTAATTAGCGAGAATTTTCTTTTATTCATTCTGATATCCTTCCAGAGGAGTCATCAGAAAATTGGTTGCAACTTCTATCTAAATTTTCCATTTAGAAGATTGTGATATTGAGAATAACTTGGAGAGACTTGATTTCACAACTACTAATTTATTTCCTAAGTCTGAACAACTTGGAATAGCCATAGACTCGAGACTGCAAGATGACTTAGAGAGGCTTGATGCCTCTATTAGTCTAAATCTTGACCAATACTGATAAAATACTGAATAAATAACTGTATGAGTACAAAATAGTGGCCTATTCAGTGTAAAACAGGCCTTAACTGTTAAAGAAAATGAGTATGTATATTTTCAAGCTATTAACTCTGAATCTGTCAAAGCTAATCCTTGTGGTAGAGATGTGTTAGAAAAGAGAGCATTCCTAGCCTCAAGGGCTGTATAGAAAAAGGTGAGTTTATGCAATCGATTTTGAATTTGATTCCTAAAAATCACCTAAATTAACCTCTATTAATAGATAACTAATCTTTACGTTTAGGTCAGAAAATAGAACCCGAAGAAGAAGATCTTAAGGGTTTATCTAGGAGATGAGATGTAGGAAGGAGGATGATAAGAACCTGTTCTCCACTTATAGAGCTATTTGACGACATTCAATGGTGAATTTGAGAGATGTCATCTCGACTCCTTTGAGAAAGAACAAAGTTCATAAGAAACTAATCCTAGAAGTAACCAAAAAGGTAAAAAGAAAAGGAAAGATATCGATGCTTGTGTGAAGGCTTCAAAAGATATTTAACAGTAACAATCTTTCTGTACGCGAGAAGCAGGACCTGACCAGAATGTACAAAAAGCAAGTTAAAGAAGGGAGCATAAATTGGGAGTCAATGCTGCACGAGTTTCCTGGAAAGACCTTGATATACGTGCAGGAGTTCTGAAAAGATATTAAAGTAAAGATCCACTCAGACTTTTCGGTAATAAAATCAGAAGATTTTAAATTCAACATTGCTCTTTATGAAAGTGCTACTAAAAGAGTTTTCAAAAGAGTCAAAGAGAAAGATGAGGAAGAGAAGGAAGAGAGGGATATTATTCCCTAATTCTTTCTCTTAGAGATATATTTTCTGAATTCTCGAATTAAATTAAGTCAATAACTTTCTTAAAAGTAACAATATTGTCAACAGAATTTCTTCTTCTCACTTTGAAGTCTCTCAAATATATAGAGGGAAAGATTTTAACTAGCAATTTGTATAAAGCCACGTGCAAAAAAATGTACATCTGCTTAACACCGGAAAAAGGAGATATCTCACAATTTTAGGTCTTTAAAGTTCCTCCAATGTCAGGGAAGTTTTCAAAATTATAAGGAATCATTCAGAAAGAGCCTATACCTCTTTTTGTTTATTTCTATATTTTGAGAATTACAAGTAGAACTTAGGATGGAGATATTTTTAACTCTCGAATTTGTACATATACCTATTTAAGAATGTTCCAAAGGCCTTGATGTCTTTATCTCCTACTCTTTGGGCTCCTTTTACAATCAAGCATATTACCTTTATCAGTAGATATACAAATGGAACTTCTGATGTAAAGAGAACGCTGGTTTCTAAGCTAAATCTAGTATTGGGAAATCGCATTTTCGATAATATTAGTTATGGTTAGCAACTCAGAATACATGCATAATATTTTACCCCATTTTGAAGCTCTGATACAATTTTTAAGAATTCAAGTGCCTCTTTCAATACATTGAGACAAGCTGGTCTTAATATTTAGGCGCTACAAGAGGTCATGAAACAACAGCTAAGCTTTCCTAATTGTTGTGAATTCTTAAATATTTATAAGCTCAAAGTTAAAAGTATGCAGAGCATGCTATTTTCATCTATTGCGCCTCGAATGAAAAGTGTTAGCATATTTAGAATCAGATTATGCTGAATTTTAGCTTAAGCCCCTCAAGCAAAGCAATTGTTCTGTCGAATTTTTAATATATTTTTGATAAAGAGCATTCCTTCAAGCTCATGAATTTGAATCCCTTGAGTATAAGAACTAGATATTTCTACACATAAAGACATATATGGTATATGCAGATGGGTTATTTTTCCCTCTCCTTGTAATTATTTGACTATAGATTCGATGTATGAATCCAAAAGAACAGAATGTGGCAGGACGATCATTGTTCAATTTATTAATTTCCAGACTTTTCAAATTTTATAATCAAAAAGGGGTTTTGGGGTTTTGGGGTTTTGGGG